CATTCATATACATCGCTTACACAATATGCCCTTTATCAGCTGATAAACTCAAGGCGTAACAAAACAAACAAAGCAAACCTTCGGACTTCAAAATAAAGGCAGGCAATCAACGTCAACGCGTTTTATTTTGAAACACGCCGCCGGATTCACCAGCTTCCCCCGATGGTTTCTATCTTCGCTCTGCAGTCAGAGGCGCATGAAACAGTCCCGCTAGAATGAGGATGGCAGTGCGGCTGGCAGCTCCTAACCTGACGACTCTACGGCAGTTCTCATGAATGGGAGTCAGATTCCAGCCCGGAGAGTCCCCTGTGAGCTTCAACACTGAGCGACAACAAACAACATTCACTTTTAATTCGATTATTCTGGTTAAATAATTCATCAGCTCATAGACAAGTCTCACTGCAGCAGAGGGACACTTTGCAAACTTTGCCACATGGAAAACAGCTCTGAGGTAACGAAGCTTTCTTCTTTATTTCCCACCTAAAACAGGCTATCTGCACTAAATTTACTACACATTAAAACATATACCAGCTGAAGCCAGGCTGTGTTGCTGCTTGTTGCTATAGCTGAACTGGATTTGGTTATTTGCTAAGATTTTATAGATTTACTTTTAACTTTATAAATCCTCATTTTTTGCTACCCCAATAAACAAACTTTCATGTTTACCACAAAGAAAGCCTGCAAGAGTTAGTTTGGAGAGTTCCCCACTCTTCACATTTTCTTGTTGTTCAAAGGTCCTGTGGCTTCACAGCTTGCAGCTTTCCCCCCTCCAGTATCCTCCCTTCTTTAAATGGTCCAGAGCCACAAAACTACACTTAATTTCTTCAGTCTGTCCTGATGCTGGTCATTATCATTGCAGCTGTGTATGAATAATAGATCAGTCACTGTACAGGAAATCGTAATGCTGAACTAAAGGGTTAGGGTTTGACATTTATATGATTTATGTCCTCTATTTATTTTTTTTTAACTTTTAAGAGAAGACGACTCAAAACAAGAAAATATTTAATCACAGAAATATTAAAAAAGATTCATAAATAAGAGTGGGGGGACATACTGGTTACAGTTACACTGCTTCTACCATCCATGAGTAAATCATTTACAGTTATTCAAATTTATTAATTTTTTATATAAAACAAATTTTAAAAGCTTTTGTTTGAAAAAATATGTTTCTTGACTTGAAGTAACAGAAATACACAAATCTGTGCTCTCTGGTTGTTTTGTTTCACTGTTTGTGGACAGTAAAGATTTCGACATGTGTGCTGATGTACACAGAAGTTTCTTCTTCATTTATGCGGTGACCCCGCTCTAAGGACTTTTAGATACTAAAATCCATACAGTGTGAGACATCAGATAGCAGCAGATACCAAATGCAGCGTCTAAATTTAATGCTGGACATTAAATGGCTTTCTTCATCTTGATAAAGTTGTTTTCCTGGAGGAAAACAGGGAAGGCGATGAGATTTTATTATCTTGTGTTTTTCAGCGTCATTACACAGTTAAACCAAACGGGTCTCCACCCTGTTGGGAAGTAGTTTTGGTGGTAAAATGGTGCTGCTTCTGTATTATTTTGAAATAGTGAGCCCCAAAGTATTGGCTGCAGAAGACACAATCCTGGAGGTGTAGCACTGACCACAGGGCGAGGAAATTCTGCTCATGTTTAGAAACTTGATTAAATAATTTCACTTTCAAACATCTGGACTGATAAAGTCCCAGCAAGTCTTTTCTACCCACTTATTGTGACTCAGCTTTCCATGCAGCAGGCGTGTGTGTGGAGGCGGGGTGAGCGCTTGTGAAGATGTTTGTGATTTCGAAGCTCCTTGCATTTCACGGAGCAGTTTGTAATGTCATATCCTGCGCTCTCCAGGGAATGTCTCAGCTCGTGCTGGGACGAGCGGTCCGGCGTCATTCTCCTCTGACTGGGTCAGGAGGAGGCGGCTGGGATTGTGCAAAGAGGTTACATGGGTTTATTAAAGCAGCATGTGGTCAGGAGGAGGGGGGGGTTGTGAAATGTGTTGAATTATAATAAAAAGCTTCTGCCAGAGTTTCTTTTGCTGTTTACAGTGTTGAGCAACACGTTTGAGCACTTTCACTGCTTCTTTCTCCACAGACTGGGAGATCCTGATCACAGGGAACAGATCAATAACGAGGAACCATCTGTGGTCTGTTAACAGAAGACTGCTGGATCCTGAAATGCCAGAAGACGCTAGCAAGGAGGCCATGAGAACACCAGCGACACCAGAGAAGGCCAACAACGCAGAGCGCCCCGCTGTCGCCATGACAGCCCTAAACATCCCCCTAGTTAATGAAGTGCAGCTGACCGCAGCCACCGGCGGGGCAGAGCTCTCCTGCTATCGCTGCACGATCCCGTTTGGTGTGGTAGTGCTCATTGCAGGCATCGTGGTCACCGCGGTCGCTTACAGCTTTAATTCGCACGGCTCCACCATCTCCTATTTTGGCCTGGTGCTCCTCTCTGCAGGACTCTTGCTTTTAGCGTCCAGTGCCATCTGTTGGAAGGTGCGGCTGGAGAGGAAGAAGGAGAGGCGGCGGGAGAGCCAAACGGCCTTGGTTGCAAACCAGAGGAGCATTTTCACTTGAAGCGGCGGTTTAAACAACGCAGCTCCAGGTTTTTTCTGAGTCTGAAAAGGCCTGATCTCGACACGGTTTGATGAAGAACCAGCTGAAGGCAGATGTTGTCCAGAATGTTTCTTCAGTTTCCGACCTGTAAAAGCTCCGACTCTAAAGGCTCAGAATTCAAAGCTTTACAGACATTGTGAGGGATTTATTTGTCAAACAGACGTGGAGCATCTGGTAAGCTGGGAACACAGCCAGAAGGAATGTATCACAATTAAGATGAATTACCACTGTGCGGAGTGGCGTAGAGGAAGTCTCCCATTAATCGGCTGTTGGATGTGCTGCCTTTGATTGCAGCTGGTTTGAAAAAGTCCAGAACAATGACTCTCGCGTCATTTCCTAGGCTTCAACTTGCAAATATCTGTTTAGAAAGTCTCATCTTGCAGGAAATGGGGAGAAATGACCTGCTTTTGAAGTATGGTACGTTATAATGGCTGAGAAGGACTATTAAATTTTGAATATGCATCCTCTTAAAGCACTTTGATCCAACATATTCATCATATTATGTAATACATTTCTTTAAAAAAATAATGCAAAGATAAATCCACATTTTATGTAGCAATACTTAATGTGGAAAACTACATTTTTACTGTCTATAGCTCATATTGTGTAAAATTAAACTAGCAGCTTTGTTTTAGCGTAATCATTTGCATGTATTCATTGTTACCACATGATCATGATGTTTAATAAAATCATTTTATCAAGCATGTTGTTTGTGTCGCAACTGGACAGAATGAATTTAGTTTTGTCTTGTTTTGTTGTATGTATTGAAAGGAACGACTGTATATAAAAGATGGGTGTAGCCATGTCACCCATTGGTTTGAAATTTGAAGAGCTAACATAAGTGTTTTAGCTACGATGTTGGGTTTGTGGAGCCACGAGTGACCGTATTTAGACCAAAGGGGGGAGTGCAGCGCTAGCAAAAATGGTTAGCTAGCTGCATCCAAAAAGTCTGACTGCATCACACATACAGACCTGCTAAATAAAAGATTAATAAAATACTAGCATTTCACCAAGTGAAACTGGACCATAGATTTCTTGTCCAGTTCAGTGACTCAAATTAGCAGAGGAAATGCTTAGCAGACAGCTAGGCTATTAGCCACAGCACATACATTTAAGCTAGTTATTTACAAAATAAATATACCACCCACCATAAAGTTTTTATAAAGAGAGAAATCATCCATAAAGCCCCCAAAATGTCCCCAAAATGCTGCAGTTTTGTTTTTTTAGGGTTTTTTTTTTCCACTCGCTTCGTTTCTTAGCCCCAAACACTGTAGCCACTTTAGCTTAGCAGAAAAATGTGAAACTGCTAGCCTGTGTGTGTCCAGATTATCAGTGTTCTAAAGTGTTCTAAGTGTTCTAAAACCCATTGAGTGACATTTAATATACATATATAAAGAATATGTAAAGCTTATTTTTCATTTGCTAAGATCACCAGGTTTTTGGTAACATGTGTATGCATGGATCAAACACTTAGCAAAGTGCTAATACAACATTAGTAATGTTGATTAGGGACACGAGGTTTTGGTCTACCTTTAGACACAGTGAGCTCAGCTTAATCCTCTATTTGCAGTTCTTCAAATGGAGTTGCAACACTGCCTTATCCATCAAGCCATCGTGTCACCCCTCCACTTAACATTTAAACATCTTTGGACATGATGGATAGAACAGATGTAACTGAATCAGCAGCTAAACAAACTAGGAAACAGTTAGGTAAGGTCACAAATAACAGTACGCCAGTTTTCTCGGAGTTCTCTATAATACTACACAAAATATGTTTCCACCACCAAAGGAACTGACCACTGCTGGATATAAAGATTCATACTGAAGGGACTTCATCGCCTAGGTGAATATATATATCTGTTAGTAGAGGCCTATTTTCCTAACCAAAAAGCTGCCAAAATGATAACACACATGATGACAGTGAAATCAGTAAATTATTAAAAATGCATTAGGACAGAGGTAATCGTTGAAACACATAACATTAATAAATATCCTAATTAAGATTATTTTAATGTTGATATTAAAAATGTGAGCAATAAGACAATTTTATTGTCGATATTCCCTGGTCACACGTACGCAGGGCAAACTATGCTCCAGTTTGCCGTCGCCTTACACTCATAGAGTGGATTAGTAAGTGTGACTGTTTCTTCAGGCTTGTTACATTCATAGGAAATGTGACTCTCAGAGGTTTGACGTCAGTGTTTGTATTTCTTAGAGACAGTTTATGAGTAGCGATGAGTTATTTTATTAACATTTAGTCATTGGCTTTCACTGCTGAGTTGAGGGAAATGTTTTGCCTCTCATGACGTACTTGGGTGTGCCTTCGAGTCTTCGCACAAATTTACTGCACATGTCTTCTCGTGACAAATCCAAAGCCAATGTATTCACTTGAGAATTTAGATTTCATTCAAAACACAGTCATCACGGCCTGCCCCGTTAAAATATCAACAACAAAGCAGAGGCTACATTTTGGTTTATGTCAAGGAAGTACTCAGAACCTCTATGTAATTTAAATAAGAGGATGTAACTGCAAACCAGCAAATAAAAGTACTTTATGTAAAAAACAGCCACTGATACTGTATAACTACATTACCTTTACTCACATATTTATATAAACAGAGGATTTTACTGTTGTAGTTCATTAAGGTGGAGTCATTCTTTTCCTATTTCACACAAGGCTACAGCTAATAATCACTACTTTCATTATGGATGATCCTGATGACCACTGAATGCTCTGTAAACAATTGTAATTTGTAAAGTTTCGTGGAAAAAAGAAGCTTGAAGACTAATTTTAAATGGTATAAAGCAAATCTTGTTAAATTCTAGTTCCTGTGTGAACTAAACTCTTGGATAGATTAATCTATGGAAAAAATTTGGATTTTATAAACTCCAAAAAAATCTTAATTTGTAGGTAAATAAAAGTACAATTTTGTCCAATGGAGAGGAAATGAAACGTAACTCAAAGCATAAAAATACTTGAGTAAAAGCTGCTTTGTTGTACACCGCCACAAAATATCAAACACATGCAGACCAACCTCAATGCTTTGTTCAGATATCGAGAGTTACAGATGCAAATAAAAACTTAACTTGAATATTTTGACATTTCTGTGACATTTCTTCTTTTTTTAATTAAAAAAAATATTTTTTGTATTTCTATTCGTTAAATAAAATAGCTTTTAAGTTAATCAGCTTTGAAAATATGAGGCAATTTAGTTTTAGCTGAGTTACATTTCGGTGGATTTCCAGTTTACAGATTATTTGACATTACAAACTTGCAAATGTAAAAATAACATCGACTGACAAAGGAAGATGATTCTGATGGAAGTTGCAGAAAGTTAATTATTCTGGCAAATTTAAAAATCACAGTCAGCCTTTGCACCTAAACTCAAAGCAGTCTGAATCACTTTAGTAACAATTTAACACATAGTTTCTCTCTATTTGTTACTTTTTTCCCACCATCATCATCACTTTATGTGTCTAAATATTGGCTGTTCTTCTGCTGGACGACTAATTGAATGTTTCAGGACATAAATTCTCTAAAGTAAAAGGAAGTTGAGCGCTGTCGTCCGACCCCGCCAGGTTTAAAATAGCCTGGACATGGAAGTATATTTATAGGCAGCATTTGCGTTGCTATGCGTCCCCGTGACACCAGACACTACAACTAAATGGTTTCCTTGCGTCAGAGGAGAACCTACAACACACTTTGTCACTTTTGGGAGATCACCACCACACATGCAATCGGCTGAAGACGTGCACTTTATAGACTCCGAGATCAGATCAGTAACACGTTAATGAGACACATGACACGGTGAGGCGTCTCCTCCTGCTTGTCAGGTTAGAGGAAGCCAGACTGAAGCTGGAAAAATGGGTGACTTGAGATGAAGTTTGACAGGTGCTCTCCCCCGGCGTCTTTAGCCTCGTTACACACTGCTGGCACCTCATGTAGGGACTGTGTGCGTCACTTTTTGTGCCTCACATAGTTGTCATTTCAATCAGTGCCACGCTGCTGCTGGGTTACTTTATCAATAAACCGAACGAAGCCGGGGGCACGTAGTTTAAAAAAGACAGGAAAGAATTTCAAGAGTTCCAAAGGAGAAAAGAAGCAAGAAAACGATTGACGTAAAGAATTCAATTGGAAGGAAGGAAGGAAGGAAGGAAAGAAGGAAGGAAAGAAGGTGATCGGAAGAGGAAGAATTAAGAGGTCAATCAAGTATGGAAGTAAAAGATAAAGAAAAGTGACTAGCACGGCAAAAGTAGAAAGTGTTACAAATGAAAAGGAAGACTTGCGGAACGAATGTGTTCTCCTTCAGCCTCTTTCAACAAAGGAGAACAAGCTGCAGTGTTAAATTCCAGACTTCAAAACAACCGACTGCACATTGTTGGAAAAATTGAACATAACGAGCTCAGCATTACAGACATCCTGCTCCTTCCTGCTGCCTCTAATGAAACAGCTGTGCAGCCGGAGCGTGAAGAGGCTCGGACAGACCCGACCTGACAGCTCTCCGACTAGCTGACCGGACTCAAGTGACATTCGCTCATTTTCGATAACAACCTGAAAATTACAAAAATGTCTTTTGTTTGACTTGGTTCAGGTTGCCTGATGAGGGTGAAACAAGCACAGCACTGTTAATATCTGCTCCAAGTCAAGTTCTGTACTTGTCGGAGCAATTTTAACCGGTTTTTCAGGTGTCCGGAGATGGAGATCCACTGGAATCTTTTGTTCTGCCTATTGCTTCATCTTCCATCCCTGCAGCTCTCAGAGGTCCTGCACAGTGGTGCTTTGAGAATAATGCTAACATCAGCATGCTAACACATAATTGCCATCTCAAATTGCATACTCTTCCATACTTACACTAACTATTTTGAGTGTATAAGTGGGTTCACATTGAGTACACGACAAGTGCAGTGATGATGTACCATAGATTACATAAAAGACGGACATAGCTTCCAGGTCGGAAAAAATGAAGCCAATGTGGAAGTGCCGAAGGCCACCAGAAGGTGATAGCTGCAGTTGTAAAAACACTTCTGATCCTATTAAGTCTACGGGAAGGTGGCTGTCTTGCTTGACCCTGTAAACACTTTGCTGCTGAGTTTATGGGCTCAGTCGGTCAACTTCAAGTCTGTTTTGTAAATCTTGGCCATTCTGTGTATCAGATGAAAGATCATATGTAATATGAAACTGCATGCTCATTGGTCAACCGCTCCTCAGCCAATGAGCATGCACTCTCGCAGTCAGACCTGCCCCTTCTTTGTCTCGTCCAAGTTTTTGCAACCAAGATGGAGAACGATGGCGATGCTCATCTTAAAACTTCATACAGGGACTTAAGAAACCAGTGGGTGACATCACAGCTGTGCCCTTTAATACTGTTTGACTGTTGTATTCATAACAGTCACAAAGGTGTGCACACTCCTTAAATAGCTGCCATCTTTCCTCTGTGGTGTAAATGTTGGAGTTGCCAAACAACCTGCTTCTTAAAAGCAGTTTCGTGTTTCCGAGTCC